TTCATATCTAAGTATCAAAATAAACTTAATTTCTTCAAAGGAAGTGTAATTTTTTTCTCATGGGAAATGTAAATTTTGCAACTGAGCACATTTCCTTCTTTGCTTTTACTACCAGGAAACCCAAGGTGTAATTTTAGCATCTTTAGTAAGTGCATAGGTCCATACAGTCTATATGCCTACATATTAACTCTTCTCACTGAAAGAGACTAGTCTATGTATATTTTCCCCAGTTCTGATTTGTATTCATGTATTAAAAATATTTTTAAATGTTTCCTGTGAATTCTTATAAGTCACCTCAAATCCAGAGCAGAGTAAAAAAATCGAGTTAGTCTGTTTAGTGAGCATTGTGTTATGCAAAAATGAACGGTCCTTTTCCATTCGCACATTGGACATATTTGTTTAATACTTATACCAACAGAGAAAGATAGAGGACACTTGCATTTTTCCCATAAAAGCAGAACTATATGAGAGGAACTAACCCTCACAATGAAATATAAAATCTTCTGTGTAAATTAAGGGTCTTAGTTAAAATGGGTACTAATGTTATATAATTTTTCAGCCATGTTATTTTAACCCCTTAGAAACCAGATAAGCTAATATTTTATTGATGAGGAGCAGCTAAGCTATCCTCTCAAGGAACAGATCTATAAATGTGGTGTTTTCGTGAGCTTCATACTCCCTGAAAACAGCTCTTGTTCAAGTATAACAGTAATCACCAGACCGCAACTTTTGAATTTGGCCCTTGAAATTAACCCTTGGACTCTGGAACCCCACACCAATCCAGGATCACTAGGGGCTCTGTCATCTGTGCTGCATAGGTGGCAGAGAATGGGCACGGGAAGGGCAAGGGCTCTGCAGCAAGGGAAGGAGCCCCTGACTGGGCACAGCTTCACAGCAGCCCGCAGTCAGCTGTGTCTGGCACCCAGGGCAGGACAGGAACGGCAGCAGCCTGAGCAACAGTCTCCCCGATCCTGGGGGTGCTTCTGGGTCACTCAGTCTATGAAATTCATAGGACGGGGGAGGAGGTATCTTGAGCTTCCCTGAGCCCAAGAATAATGCCACCTTTGATCTGTAGAACTGAAAAAAAATGGAGCTTTTCCTTTGCAAGTGGGTTTTAAATATTTCTCCATTAATAGTTAATGCACATGCAGACCAGCAGAGTGACAGCTCCCTGTGATTATGAATTCTGGCTTCGTAACGCCAGTCCAAATAGGAGCTGAACTTTCAAAATCACGGTGGTTACTTTTGACAAATTAAATTGTCCTACTTAGGAAGGTAGGAGGCATGAAGAAAAAGAAAGTGAGAGAGTGGGAGCAGATTCTCCTTGGAGGTGATTCTCAGATTGAGGAAGAAAAAACAAGAACTACATTTGTGTTTTCTAGGCTGACAATACTGCCAGTGTGTATTAGAAAAGAGCTACAGAAAGTCCCCGCTCAGACGTTGGGCAAGTGGGCCAGACAAAGACGGGAGAAGGAAAGACACTGGCAGGATGGCTCACTGTCTCAAAACAAGGAGAAAATATGTTTAAGGAAGTGGTCATTTTTAACCATGAATCAGGGTGCTCTTAAGACCCTGCTGTTGAAAATTAATTAGAAAGAAAATGGTCTTAAATTCCTAATGATCAGAAAATAACAAGAAATGGTTTACACAGAAAATCTACTTTGTAGCCCATCGCAATGTTAAGGTTCTAAATTATGTCAGGTGGTGTCAATGTATTCTTTGCCTGTTAAATCTAATTCTTTTCCTTTAAGAAGTCCCTGTGGTATTTTGCTGGTTTGGGGTAACCAGCATATCACAATAGGTGCTCAACTCAGGAGGTCTGCTGAGTGAATAGTCTAAGGTATTTATCTGTAGTTGCATAGCTAGGAGTTAAGGCCAGATGATTTTCTAGCAGAGACTAGAATATAAAATAAATAGGTAAAGTCAGGCAAGTAGTGCCTGATGTTGAAAAGGCTAAAAAAATCTTCACTGTCATTGACTAGCATCTTACTATACTTTCTCTAAACCAACATTTCCAAATGTGGACTTTGGGGATCAACCTAAGTATGTGTAATGCATGTCATGAGTCAGGATCTGGACATGACTATCTATTCCAGGAAAGGAGGTGAGTGATGAAATACAGAGAGTCCCCCAAGGAGAGGAGAGAAAAGGTTTTGAATTCTACGGTAACAGGAATTGTGCTTCCGTTCTGGTCTACAGCCCCTGGGATTTTACCATCACTCAGCTGAAGGTCTCTCTGAAAGGTTTCACCTTCATTCTTTATGATAATACCAGCGATCACAAACTTCATTCTCACCCTTAATTTTTTAGTATATGTGTTGCCAAAGCGAGCACTCATCCTTAATTTTTGAACTCAATGACTGTTAATTCAGTATCAGCTATGTAAGGTGTTTTGCTTAACAATATATAAAATCCAAAAGCAAGGCATTTTTCTTAGTGTTATAGAAGTATTTTATGAAAGGAAGATGATGTACATAGGTTGAGCTGGACTGGGAATGCCATGAAATGGGTTGGGCATCCTGTTGAATGGTCTTGATGACTAGGGAATGTGAGTAGTAAATGCCCCGCAGGGGAAGGGGGAGTCCCACTAGCCACCAAAAAATGGTTTTGTCCCAAATGTCAGTGGTGCCCTTGATGATAAATGCTGACAGAGCACTGGTATCTTTCAGGGACAACAAGTTTAAAGATTAAAGTCTCAAATGGTATTGAAAGCCGAGGAAGACTTGGGGACCAACTGAGAAGTGCTATTACTCAGGGGTTTCTGTGATCAGTAGGCTCCAAACGCCCCTGCCCCAGGTCATCAGTTCAGTTGATTCCTGAAAAGGCACATTAGAACAGAGGAATGAGACATGGAAAATGTTGACCTAACCTGAGAATCCCTGAGGATTCTAGACAAAGACCTGAAATTAATTTTCCTCCATCAATTTTTCTAATTTGGGAGCCACCCCAAGTTCTAAATGAGTCCTCAGTCAATATCCTCAGGATTGCTTTGGAGGTTACTAAACCTCTGAAATAATGTGGGGGCTTGTGTAAAGAAAGAGTCTACAGACCTGTAGCTTTTGCCCTTGGTGTGTAGCTCAATCTCCAATTTTGCTTATAAGCCAAATGCAAAGTTAGGGCCAGTCTCATTAACTTAGCTGGGTTGAGCACCTCAGAGCAGAAAGATGATGACAGGACGTGAGTCACAAATGAAGAACCCCAGTATGGAAAATGTTTGGGAAAATATTATAATCCAGGAGTACTGAGTGGGTGGAATAATGGCCTTCAATATGCCAGAATGGGAATTCTTAGGCAGAGCACTTATAAGGAAATCATAAGAAAAAGAAGACTGATTTCCTATTAATTGTGATGTAAATTATATGGATGTGATTTTGACAAAGAATAGCACTGTTACTGAAAAAAAAATAGTGGTTTATGTGCAAAATGCAAAATGCATTAAGAAGAAAAGAAATGTTATTTGGCATCATGAGTGCAATAAAATCTGAGATAATGGCTTATGGTTAGTTAACTTTTGTATTATTTTTTTTCTGTTTCATTCGATTTTTAATACTTATTAGGAATGAAACTAGTATTTTTATATCAATAAGTTACTAAAGATTAATGAGCATTTTTCATACGTAATTCTCGATCCTGACATGAAATGTGAAATCACCTCGCTTTGTTTACATTAGATGAAGACTGTTATTCCAGACATTTTATGCCAGAAGATATACTGCATAGTTCTGTTGTTAATGTGGACAGCTGTCCATACAGGAAATAGCTAATAGTCAATAAACTTGCTTAATGTTAGACAGAATTCTTTAGGGAATAAAATATCACCATTTGCTAACTCCCTGGGGAGCTTATATCTCTCTTAACCAAGACGATTCTCAGGGGACACTAATTAAAGTCAACCAGACCCTTAAAAAGTATAAATAAAGATCTCTCTTTAGAGAAGGTAAAAATTAAAATAACATATTTAGGAAAGGTAACTTAAAATGATAAAAAAATGAGGAAGAAAGAAGACAACTTTTATTTGACCTTGAATGTACTTCTTACTCCATAAGAAATTTTTAAAAGCTAGAGGGTAGTTGTTTCTTGTCATTATACTGTTGCTGATTCTGTGGTTAGTTATTAATTTTATTTTTTATGATTCACAATCTGCTCTTTGAAATATGCCATATGCTCAAAGCAATTCAAGGATGACAACTGTCAGAATTACTCCAATAAAAATTGCCTAAATGAGGAAGATTTACTGCAATCTGATATTTCAGTGGAAAGTCCCTCTACCCTCCCCAACAGCTTTTTCAGACACTGCGAATCTTGCAACCATTTTTTCAGTCAAAATCACATAGCTGTTTTGTAAGAACTTCCAAGACTATTTAAGTAGAATTGGTAAAACATATTAGGCTAAGGGTGAATTAGCAGACATGGGAAAACAATATAGATAGTTATTAGATGGACTGCCTGCAATCAATATATAAGTTCCAAGCCAGTTTTCTTAAATCACACGCAAATGTACTGACTTGATATGACAACGTCTGTTCTGTGTATCACTAATAAACATGAAACTGAACGAGCCCTGTACTCTGGAAGTAGCAAGCCAAACTGAAGGCAAATTTCTTTTTTCTCTGGAAAGATCTGAGAGGTGGACAGAATCCACCGAGTGCTCCAATGAAAACACATTTTGTTAAATGTTACCAGTCCATTTATCCTTCATTTTGTTTCAGTCTATTTATTAATGCGGTTTCATTTATTGCTATTCATCTTGGAGATAAATCTTTGTCCTTCTATAGAATTACACCAAATAGAATGTGATAAAGGGAACTTTCTTGCAATTATGATGTCGGTGCAGCCTGTCAGCACACAAGGGATGGAAATGAGTTTGGGGACAGGGAAGGGAATTCTAATAGACACCATGATACATACAATGAACGCAAAGATATCCTGAGAGAGAGAGAGACTTGTCAGGCTAATCAGATCTTCCACAGCAAGGTAAAGGCAAGAAGGGTAGCTCTAACCTTGTAAAGATGCTGCAGCTGCTCCTCTGACATCATCAGGTCGTGGCTGTCCATCACGAGGGACTCCATGTCAATCAGCCAATCCCAGAGCTCCTGATATTCGGAATCAAAGTCCAGAAGCCTGAAGATAAGGCACAAAATGTATTATGCATAAATACAGTGTAGTTGTTAAAATCTCATATTAGAATAATATATTCTTGAAAACCCATGATGTTCCTAGGTGATACCTGTAAAAAGAGAAGGCAAAAATTCTCTGTGTGGTTCCACGGTGGGCAAAATAGAAACTCAAGCCTGTGACATAGCATTTCTTAGATTTTGAAAACATAACATGTTATTCCAGTGCTCATACCTGAGACATATCGTGACTATTTCCATTCACTAACCCTTTCTGAGGATTTACAGCACTTGAACCAAATGACTACTACTCTCCTTGACGGAGAGCACCGCCATATTTAACAGACTGAGAAATGGAGGGTCAGTGCCTTGTGAAAGGTACACGGGTCCAGAATTTGGGGTCAGAATAGCTCCCTCAAAATTCAAACCTCTTTCTTGTCCACTAGATTTTCACAGATGTCGCATCCGAAATACATTTATGATTAAGAATACTAATTCAACTAATTTCTCTATAATGATCACAATTTATTATCAGATCTGAAATATCATTTTCACTGGGAAATGACTCAATCATTTATTTGTCCCTCTGCTGTCTATCTGCCTATCTCTGCAAACATATATCCTACATTTATTGTCATGGATGAGTAGCCAGCATTTCAGCTTAACACTCAGAGATAGGCTTGAGTGACTCTGGTAAGCCGGGGAGAACCGGGGGCAGATCCAGTATTAGACAGGTGTTCCCCACAGACGTGTAGGAAACAAAGGTAAGGACAGGAAGTCAAAACAATGAATCTTTGAATAGCCAGCAATCATTAAAATTCAAAGGAGGATCACTATGGTTTTCAACAAAATAAATCATTAGAATAAGGAGCTTAAAAGGATTAATGTGATTCTCTATTGAAAGCCTGGTGAATAAGTAAAGCCCAGATTCTTCTAAAACACTGTGATCAGAAAATGAAAGTGCAGGATGAAAAACTATGACTTTGTCCTTCCCCCCCAAAAAATCATCTCCCTAAAAAGGAACCCACATCCTTGTCAAACTGTAACTGAGCAAAACCCTATCAGTGCCAATGAAGCAGCAGGCTCAAGAACGAATCTGGATTTATCAAGTGAGTATTTTATTACTACCTTGTTCCTGTCTCTATACATTCAATGGCTACTTTCTACGAAAATGAACATCCACTTGTCATAATTTACAATTTAATCTTAATCGATCTGTCAAAGAAAACTTAAGGTGTGTCTGGTGATAGAGGAGACTAGATCTAGGACTGTCTGTTTTATTTTAATTACCTTACCATAATTATAAAGATTATTGGTTAACACCATAAGGATCCAGGGGCAAGGATCGTCATTGGCTGACGCATAGAACTGACGTTTAACTGAATGCTGATGCTGGGCACCAGTGATGGGACCAAAAGCTTCAGCAAGGCTATGGTGGCCTAGAGCAGGGTTTCTCAGATTTAATGTGCACATGACAGAGATGAGGATTTTGTTGAAATGCAGGCCCTGATTCAGTAATTCTAGGGTGGGGCCTGAGATTCTGCATTCTTGGCAATGGGCAAAGCCGCTGGTCACAGGCCTCGCTTTCAATAGCAAAGTATTCCAGCATACACGAGAAATCTGAAATAGTACCCCATTTCAAAATACTAAAAAACAAAAACCACCATAACAGGGACAGACAAACCACCAAGCTTTCTTTATTAACTCTGTGAGCGACTAATAAGGAATGACTAACAAGCATTTGCTCACATGACAAGGACAATCATTTAGAAATACTACCTGAATTATGGTCATCATTTCTCTCTCCTTGCACCCTCCCACATTTTAGCCATAAAGACAGGGGAAGGCGCGGGGCACCTGGGTGGATCAGTTGGTTAAGCGTCTGCCTTTGGCTCAGGTCATGATCCCAGAGTCCTGGGATGGAGTCCCGAATCAGGCTCCCTGTTCCACGGGGAGCCTGCTTCTCCCTCTCCCTCTGCCACTCCTGCTGCTTGTACTCTCTGGCTCTCCCTATCTCTCTGTCAAATAAATAAGTAAAATCTTAAAAAAAAAAAAAAAAAAGACAGGGGAAAGGGGAACGTCACCCTCCAAATTAGGGAAGTATGATTCTGGGGAATAGTAGAAATAGCAAAGGAGAAGTAAAGGGAAAAGCTCACCCTTGCCATATCAGTGGATTTAAATAAGGAAGAAATAAAGGCAAGAGGAGCTCATGCTAAGATGTGGATCCTTCCTCCTCTTGGACTAAGACCCGGAGAGGAGGTACATGAGACAGGTTGAAAGGAAAGTCAAAAGCACCAGGATATCAGCTCCATTTCCTGCTAGGAAGTCTGGGAAGAGACTTCACCATAACCTGGAGTGGGGATGTTACAGTCAGAGAGAACTTTGGTCAGGACTCCCTTTGCTACCTGTTCTTTTATCCCCTCGATGAGGACACTGTTCTCTCGCTTCCCACTCCCCAAGAGGTTTCTGGGATTTCACCTGGTGAACCTGACAGAGGTGTTGCCATGGGAGCAAAGGCACACTGACCCCAAGGAGAGGCAGAGGGAGCTCTGAAGCCAGACCTCAGAGAGTTGGCAGGGTCAGTGAGGGTTGAGTTGAGGCTTAGTCAGCAGGAAATACCTCCTGACCAAGCCAAGAGATAACAACACAGCCACAGCCCTCTGTGGGGGACAACCTCAGAATATTAAGGGCAAGATCCATTTCAACAAACCCAGCCAGCCCCTATCCAAGGGCCACGGTGAGCCAGGGGAACTCACCACACCCCAGAATCACAAGGTCATGTAAACCCAGATGCTATCTTAGAAAAAAGAAGGGAGAGAAATAAATCTGAAAAACAGCATTTACCCCAAGAGGTAGCTCCCCAATGACGATATTCATTTACTAGGGGAGGCTACAAGCACTGTGTTGAAGAGCCTGGCCTCTGATCTTAAAGCATTTACCAGGAAATTATGTGTTTACAGTGTTTCATAAAAATCACCAATCAGCAAGGAAAATAAAGGGGCCTGTTTTCTTTTCCCTATGTGTATAAAGAAAAGAAATTTTGATTAGGACCAAACAAGTCAAGGGTAAGAGGTGAACTTATCTTTGCACGTCTAGTGCTCAGCATAGCACCTGGTGAATGATGATGAGTGAATGTAGATCATGAAGCCACAAACCTTTAGTGGGGCAGGAGTGACTTCAGAAGAGCAGCATGCGGTAGAGATAATAGTGTCTCCTCCCCAAATGCCAACACCAGCACAATCAGTGCCACACGGATAGGCTCTGAAGGGGGGGGTTTGCCTTCGAGTCCACGATAATGGTGCATTTGTTTACTTCAAGATTATGTGCAGTAGCTTCTTGATTAAGGTGAGTTGCCCCACCCCCCCATTCCTTCCACCTCTTCCCCTTTTCTACACTGAAAATCAAAGGAGACTGAAATAAACCAAACATATATATGGGATGGTAAAATGTTCAGAACCATGGACATTTTTTCACTGGCTCCTTACCACTCCTTTAAATCTACAGAGCTGTTCCCTCCTATGATTCCCCTTAGCAAGGGACTTGGAACAAAAACCCATTTCTTCTAATTAAATGCACCTCAGCTTTCTTTACAGGGAGTCTACAGGGAAGACCCACAAGAGGCAAATGAACCTAACACAGATACTCACCCTTTCTTCAGTCTGGTCTATTTTTCATTTTAGCTGAGAGTATGTAGGCTTGAGTTTGTTAGCTACAGTAAATGCTTTGGTTTCATATTTTGCTTCATTAGTATAGAATCGACAGCAGTGTTTTCCAAACAACAATTCTCATAAGGTCCTAATACTGAAGACAAAAACACTTCTTTTAAGCATTTGTGCCTGATTTCAGATTCTTGGCCACATGTTAATTCTCAGCTTAGAAAAGACCTCAGAACTTTCCAAATTTAGGGAAATCAAATATGTAACTTCATAGCAAATCACAAACGAATTACTAGAATTTCTTTTTTTTTTTTTTAAAGATTTTATTTATTTATTTGAGAGAGAGAGTGAGAGAGAGAAAGAGCACAAGAGGGGGGAGCAGGAGAGGGAGAAGCAGACTCCCTGCCGAGCAGGGAGCCTGATGCGGGACTCGATCCCGGGACTCCAGGATCATGACCTGAGCCGAAGGCAGTCGCTTAACCAACTGAGCCACCCAGGTGCCCGAATTACTAGAATTTCTTTGTTGGTTCTTCGAAAGCTTCTGAAATGAATGCAATTAAATGTGCTCATTATTTCAGGAAAATTCTTAGGTAAGAAAGTGGTTTACTTTCTTATGCTTACATTACCTGCAAAGGTGTGCGAAGTGTTTTTCAAGTGATTTTGTGAAAGACAGAGTCTTCCAGGCAAAGCGCCAGCTACTATACACGAAAACAGAGAGGATCATAGATGAGTGAATTTATCAAGGGTAGCACAGAACTAGTTAACAGTTTTATATCCCTTTGAAGAATATGCTGATTCTATTAGCGGAATTCAGAATGAGGTTGTTTTTTGAATTCTTGGTGACAAAGGCCCTAGTAGTCTCTCTTTTTAGAAGAGAGAGAGGGGCAACTGAAATTGTGGCAAGTGACTCACAATCTTATAAGGGATATAAATATGGGAACTACTCTTTTGGAAGGATTTTCCTCATAAAATTTTCTGTTAGTTGTGTTTCAGTTTGTGTTAACTCATCCACTCAAATATGTAATCTGTTCGATGTTCAAAGTTCTCAAAGCGTATCTTTTCAATAACCTATGAATCTGGTATATTCTCTATGAAAATGTTACAAAGCAAACTCCTAGGTACTCTAGGAAAGTGTTATAAAGCAAACACATCACCAAAATGGTATTCATTTGGATACTTCTCCTTTAAATTGCCATATACTCGATCTTAAATGGGTCACAATAAAAGAGTTGGACATTCTGCTGTAGGTATAATATTCCCATTTTAGGAGGTTGAAAAGCTTATTCATGTTATGAGGAGAAACAGCCTTCTAACTCAAAGTCCATCTTCATTAGACAAGTACAGAATTATG